AATACACTGACTCTGTGAGCTGACGACTGAAGAAGGGCAGAAAGCTGAGAAACACCCAGCACACGCCTGTTATGCACAGGGCCTTCCTGGAGCTCACAGTATAGCACAGTACAGTGAACTCTGAGAGCAGGAGAGGAGGGAAAGACTCAAAGAACTAGAACCTTTCACTGAGTGTATAGAGGGGCCCCACCAGGAACAAATGTCATCATAGGGCAGAAAGCTGGTGAGTGGGCTGTACGGCATAGAGAGATTACCCTGGTGCCTCACTGTGCTCAGAGCAAAGTCCTGCTGAAAGGACCATCTTGCTCCTGCACTGGAGAACTTGACTGAGTAAATCGACAATGAAGCCCAGACCCAAGCGTTCTACGAGGTATATGGTGCCTGTTCTACACCACTCGAATGTGGTCCTTCTTGGATATTTAATATCACCATATAAGTAAAAACAAAAAGCAAAAAACAAAACCACAAGACTCAAAAAGAAGCAGAAACATATGACTAAGGAGGAAAATAGTCATTAGAAGCAGACCTGCAGATGACCACAACATCAGAATTAGCCAACGAGAGGTATTTGTATTCTTTATAAATATGCTTAAGGACCTATAGTAAAGGTTAATTATGTTCTTGAAAAGATAATGAATTTTAACAGTTAGCTGGAACTTCTAAGATGACATTTATGGCCTGTGCATCAACCCTCCCCACCCCTAGTAAGGATTATTTGGAAACAAGTTGCTAGTCATGTTTGTACCAGTCCCAAAGTCACCACCCCTCCTTGAGGTTTTGCATTCTTACTTTTGTATAAGCCAGGAATTCAAGTCCACAAGTGAGCTAAGTGCCTGCTATTTCAAGATACCATATAAACAAGATGGACGAGAATCAGTCCCAGCCCTAAGAGAAACTTATTTCACTGAAGAGATGTACAAACTTATCTCTAGGCAGAGTGCTCTAATGAGGAAGAGATACAGCAGGAGAAAGAGGGAGAGGTTTCTTTTTTTTTTTTTTTTTTTTTTTTGGTTTTTTTTTTTTTTTTGAGACAGGGTTTCTCTGTGTAGCCCTGGCTGTCCTGGAACTCACTCTGTAGACCAGGCTGGCCTCGAACTCAGAAATCCGCCTGCCTCTGCCTCCCAAGTGCTGGGATTAAAGGCGTGCGCCACCACCGCCCGGCGAGGGAGAGGTTTCTTCTGGCAAGGAGGATTATGGAACACCTGTGGGAGACATGGCATTTGGTCTTAACCTTGAAGGAAGGCCAGATGTCCATGTGAGATGGACAGAGCTTGCCTCCACTGATGGGAAAACCCTGGGACAATGGCTGGACTCCAGAATCTTCATTAGCACCCAAATCATTGCACTCCGAGAGCAGAACCAGATTCCCCTGGAAGGCCTGTGCTCCCTGGGATCTAGTGAGATAATTGGTCATCTAATAAGTCTAGGGGAAGGACAAGTAGGGTGGGAATGAGTTCTGCTTGAGGAACAAAAGTAAGGAGAAGTCAGAGGACGGAACAGTATTCAGTGTTCGATACTGTCCATGAAGAGAGGTGGAGAGCGTCTCTTTTGGCTGAAAAATAGAGACAAGAATAGGAGGGAGGCAGCAAAGAGCTTTTGAGAGAGCACAGGGATTCTGCATGCCAAACAACAGAGGCACTAGCTCTCCATTATCTGAGTTCTGTGCTCCTCTGTATTCTTTGGGGGGCAGATGTATGTTTGCCTTTCTTTCTCCCTGCCCTCTTGAATGGCTGCTGTTTACTGTGTGGTGCTCTGAGTCATATGCTGATAAACTGCAAACATTCCTAAGGATTTCCTGTCCTTGCACTGTAAGCAGTCTTAGGGCTCAGGATAGACCTTGCCCATCCAGCTACTTTTCTCTGATAGCTCTTAATTGAACAACAACAACAACAAAAATTTCTTTTTTCTTTCTTTCTTTCTTTTTTTTTTTTTTTTTGAAATAGGGTTTCTCTGTGTAGCCCTGGCTGTCCTGGAACTCACTCTGTAGACCAGGTTGGCCTCGAACTCAGAAATCCACCTGCCTCTGCCTCCCAAGTGCTGGGATTAAAGGCTCTGCCTCCCAAGTGCTGGGATTAAAGGCGTGCGCCACCACTGCCTGGCAACAAAAAATTTCTAAATGGTTCTTTTAGTCTCTGTCTGATTAGATTATGAAATTTAAATCTGCCGACTCTCCAGTGACTCAAAAGCTGTCCACTGGGGTATATTGTCTCCCTACCCCCCAAAACAAGCTCTGTTAAAAGTCATTTGGGATATTTTATTGCTGATTAGTTGATATATAATGTGTGTGTGTGTGTGTGTGTGTGTGTGTGTGTGTGTGTGTGTGACTGTTACAACTACCACAAAACTAAAATGAAAATAAAGAATTTTCTCTTAATTCAAAAAATCATTAATACAAAGAATAAGAGAAGCCGAGTAGTAATGTTACATGCCCTTGATCCCAACATTCTGGTCTACAGAGTGAGTTCCAGGTCAGCCAGAACTGCAAAGAGAAACCCTGTCTCGCAGAGGGTAGGGTGGGGGTGGAGGTCAGTTCAGGGGAAGGAAACAGATGCCTGTCACCTATCATAACCCTAGCAACTCAGGAAGCTAAAGAACATCACAAAGTCAGAGGCCACTATGGACCCTATCTAGGACTGGCCAGATGGCTCAGCAGGTAAAGGAGCTTGCTGCCAAGCAGGACAACCTGCGTTCAATACCTGGAACCCACATGGAAAAGGAAAACCAATTCCATAAGATGTCCTCTGACGGTCATGAGTTCAAATCCCAGCAACCACATGGTGGCTCACAACCATCTGCAATGAGATCTGATGCCCTCTTGTGGGGTGTCTGAAGACAGCTATAGTGTACTTATAATAAATAAATAAATAAAGTTTAAAAAAAAAAAAAAAAGATGTCCTCTGACTTCTACACATGATCTGTGGCATGTAACATATGCTCCCTCCACCCGCACATACACAAATAAATAAATATGGGGAAAGACCCTATGTAAAGAAGGGAAGAGCTAAGAGTGAAGAGAGTATTTGTGCTGAAGGAGAATGCCAAGTGGGAACTGATCTGTGAGCCATGAAGCCGGCAGTGAGGTCTGGCACTGGTGCTGTCTGTACTGTCATTCTCACAAGTCTGCAAGGTGATAGGATTAGCCACTGTGATGGGGTTCGACAGCAGGAAGACTGAAATGGGAAGACTAGTTAAAACTACAAACCCACATGGACTCTCCTCTCCTCTAGCTGGCCTTTGCCTTCATCAACAGAAGGTGGGGTGTTCTGGTGTTTTGATGTAGGAAAGAGCTTTGGAGGCTGGAGAGATGGCTCAGAGTTTAAGAGCACTGGCTGCTCTTCCAGGGAGCCTGGGTTCAATCCCCAACACTCCATGGCAACTCACAACCATCTGTATCTCCAGTCCCACGGGATCTGATACCCTCTTCAGGATTCTGTGGGCACCACGAGTGCATGTACTGCATAGCACAGACAGGCATGCTGACAAAACACCCATACACATAAAATAAACAAGCAAAGAAATGAAAGAAAAAGAGAAAACTGCCTGCTGCCATTTGGCGCTGGTCTTGTCATAATGGCCGGCAAGCGAAGGTTCGTTTCTGAATCCCTGGGCTGCTGCAGTCTTCCATTTCTGCAGAGCCCTTCCACAGAGAACTGTCCCTGCTGAAGGCCCTTGATTACCAATAATTAATCTCAGATGAAAGATTCAGTACTCCAGGCTTCCTCTGTCTCTGACCTAAGAGAACACGCTGTGAATGGTTCCTTTGTTTGCCTGCCAGAGATCTTATCTGAGCCCATAAGAGTTGATAGGACCATTGAGTCAGCATTGATCTTTCCTCAGTACCCTTCTTCTGCAAAAAAGGGCTGGGTGGCGTCTCAACCCTGGATAAAAGGGAGACTTAATGTACGACACAGGGGTCATTCAGTAACAGCTATATTTAATGGTAGTAAAATCTAAATAACTTTGCAGTGTTTCCTAATCCCCATGTTTTCTCTGCTGTTTCTCAATGTATTTGGCTAAATCACTACAGAACAACCAAGCCAAATGGCTAAACCACCCACTCTCTTATTCCCAGCACATGAATTAGAGGAAAGCCAGCTGAAATCCAGGCCAGGCTCATAAATGACTTGTATGTCTGATTTTTGTTCCATGATCTGAAACTCAAAATAAATCAGAAAAGAAACCTATCCCAATTACCGGCAAATTCACACGCACAAAGTCTCCAGCCTTGTACGTGCTCGGAGCTGATAAACACACTTATTCTGAACAGATATAAGACTTATTCCAAAAGCATAAACAGACACTCACATGCAGCGAGCTTATGGAGTTCATGAAACTCTTGTGTTCGGTTCAAGACTCTCCAGCCAAAGTGAGAGCTAAAGATCCTTTTACGAAGAGTTTGGAACAGGAGACCTTTGAAGAAGGGTCCTGAGAGACAAATTGGGAGCTTACAAAACAGTGATCATTGCCAAGCCTGGTAGCACAGGCCTGTAATCCCAGGTACTAAAGAGATTGGTTTTATATAATTAGACGGATCTAAAAATGCTTTATCTGTTATTGTTGTTTATTGCTGTTGTGTGTAAGGTGTGTTCATGCCACACTACACGCATGGCGGTCAGAAGGCAGCTTCATGGCGTCCGTCGGCTCTCTCCTCTCACCTTTATGCAGGTTCTGAGGATTGAACTCTGGTTGTCAGGTTTGCAGAGCACATGGTTTACCCATGGCGCCATCTCAGCAGCCCCTCCTTGTCTTTATATCATAGCTTCCTGCTAAGGAAATATAACACTGTCTCTTGCTAAGTACCAACTGCTTCTTCCTTTTAAAAAAAAGATCAAATTACAGGAATGTTCAAGTCTCACTTTGAATTATTGGCAAACCCAGGACTAACCCCAAACCTTCTTCTTTTGGAAGAATAGTGTAAAATCATTCATCATCTGTATAGGACGCTGTTTTGAGCACTGGGTTTAGTGGTAACTGCTCACCTCTCTCCCTCTTGTCTACAGCTGGGATGAAAGCAGCTCCATCAGCAGTGGGCTCAGTGATGCCTCCGACAACCTCAGCTCAGAAGAGTTCAATGCCAGCTCTTCACTCAACTCCCTCCCAACCACTCCCACTGCCTCCCGCAGGAGCTCCACAATAGTGGTATGTGACTTTGCAAACATCAAAGTGAAACACAGAATCAACCAGGAGGGACCTGCTTAGAGGTGTAAAATGTTTTCATTGTGACAGTATTTTGCAATCCCATCTATCTAGAATGATTGGAGAAGGAAACATATCCTAGAGATTAGATAAAGTATCTTCTCTGCAGAACCCCAGGGATGGAGGGAAACCCTAGTTGATTTATGTTATGGGATCATCAGGTCCCTTTAGCGCACCATGCCCGCCCCCTCCCCCACACCCCCCAAAGCTGCTTACTCTGCCTTTCCCTTTCATTAGCTACGTACAGACTCAGAGAAGCGCTCACTGGCAGAGAGTGGGCTCAACTGGTTCAGTGAGTCAGAGGAGAAGACCCCTAAGAAACTGGAGTACGACAGTGGCAGCCTGAAGATGGAGCCTGGGACTTCAAAGTGGCGGAGAGAGCGGCCAGAGAGCTGTGATGACTCGTCTAAGGGCGGAGAACTGAAAAAGCCCATCAGCCTGGGACACCCAGGCTCCTTGAAAAAGGGCAAGACCCCACCGGTGGCTGTCACCTCTCCCATCACTCACACTGCCCAGAGTGCCCTCAAAGTTGCAGGTGAGCTGGAACACAGGAGGGACAAGGGGGAAGACCTTTCTTGAATGGTTTTCCTTAATAAACGCAAACCTCTAGAGTGAGAGCAAAGGTTTGCATAAATACTTTCATGTACAATATCCTTTCTGACCTCTAAGATAGTCCTGTGAGTTAGGAACAACGGGTGTTACTATTTTACAAATGTGGGGAATGGCTCAGGGCTCAGCTGGCTGAGCTACAGCCACACTGCTGATAAGACCGAAAGGAGGGAGACAGTGTACCCAGGGACACATTTGACCTCCCTTCAAATGGCTCCCACTGGCTTCTTCTTTTTCTTCCCCATGACATACTTATTAGTGTCTCAAGGAGGTTCTCCCGAAGGAATGTGTTAAGTGGCCACATAGAAAGAAGCCCAGCCAGGCTTGGTGGCACACTCCTTTAATGCTGGCACTCAAGAGGCAGAGGCAGACAGATCTCTGAGTTCGAGGCCATTTTGATCTGCAGAGCAACTTTAAGGACAGTCAGGGCTACACAGAGAATCCATGTCTCTAGAACCTAAAACGCCAAATAGCCGCAACAACAACAGAAGTTCCCAAAGCTTGCCCCGTGGGTGTCATATAGCTTTAATCGACATTTCCCTCTGGTGTCTACACATTGCCATGTCTGATGATTCATTTCGTCCCCTCCTTGTTCCTCCTTGACCAGTTATTAGACACACTTCCTTCTTGATCATTTTTGTGGTCGCCTCTGCCATTTTAACCAAAATAAACTGTCCTACAGAAAACAATAAAAACAAACTAAATGAAAAGCCGACTTCCTCCCACAGGCCCTCTGGCAGGAAACTGTATCCGCTTATCCGATACCCTTTTGCCCATATTTAGGCCTCTAGATCATTATACTATATAGACAATTGATCCTTCTCCCCTAAAGAGAAGAAAAAGTGTTTTTAAGATATCATGATAGCAACCCCTCCTCTCTTTCCTGCGGTCTTTCAGGCAAGCCTGAAGGCAAAGCTACAGACAAGGGTAAGCTCGCAGTGAAGAACACTGGGTTACAGCGCTCCTCTTCCGATGCTGGCCGGGACCGTCTGAGTGATGCTAAGAAGCCCCCCTCTGGCATTGCTCGCCCCTCTACTTCAGGATCCTTTGGTTATAAGAAGCCTCCCCCTGCTACCGGTACAGCCACTGTCATGCAGACCGGTGGCTCAGCCACTCTCAGCAAGATCCAGAAGTCCTCAGGGATCCCTGTCAAGCCAGTGAATGGGCGCAAGACGAGTTTAGATGTGTCCAACAGTGTAGAACCCGGATTTCTCGCTCCTGGAGCACGGTCCAACATTCAGTATCGCAGCCTGCCAAGGCCAGCCAAGTCCAGTTCTATGAGTGTGACTGGGCGGGGTGGACCTCGGCCTGTTAGCAGCAGCATCGATCCCAGCCTCCTCAGCACCAAGCAGGGTGGCCTTACACCCTCCAGACTGAAGGAACCTTCCAAGGTCGCCAGTGGTCGGACCACTCCAGCCCCGGTCAATCAGACCGATCGGGAAAAGGAGAAGGCCAAAGCCAAGGCTGTGGCCTTGGACTCAGACAACATCTCCTTGAAGAGCATAGGCTCCCCAGAAAGCACTCCCAAAAACCAAGCAAGCCACCCTCCAGCCACCAAGTTAACAGAGCTGCCACCAACTCCTCTCAGGTACCCTCACTGGGCAGTGTCTTCCTCTTCTGTGTCTCCAGCATTTAACTAGCTGTGGCATGGCCTGTCTGCTGCGTCTCTAGACCTTTGTATGGATCCTTCCTCTCTCCTCTGTACCATCTCTGAAAACTCAACTTGTTTCTACTGTCCCATGTCAAGGCTGACTTTAGTACTTGTGCGTGTGGTTTTGCTATGTGTATCTGCATGTTCCCCAAATGCACGTGTTATCTCCCTTACAGTGGAAGATGCTGCAAGACCCCTGTTGAATCTCCTAGTTGGTTTATCAGTAGCATCAGAGTAAACCTTTAGCTGAGTAGGAGCCCAGGAAACAAAGGGAACTAGAAAAAGATTGCCTGTGTTGCCCTGTAATTTGTTATTCTGAATATTGTATTTTGTCCTCACTCCTCTCAGGGCCACAGCCAAAAGCTTTGTCAAGCCACCCTCGATAGCCAATCTAGACAAGGTCAACTCCAACAGTTTGGATCTACCATCTTCCAGCGATACCCATGCCTCAAAGGTCCCAGATCTGCATGCTTCGAGCTCATCAACTGGGGGCCCTCTCCCGTCTTGCTTCACCCCCAGCCCAGCGCCTATCCTCAATATTAACTCAGCCAGCTTCTCCCAGGGCCTGGAGCTCATGAGTGGTTTCAGTGTCCCAAAGGAGACCCGCATGTACCCCAAACTCTCAGGCCTGCACAGGAGCATGGAGTCCCTCCAGATGCCAATGAGCCTGCCCAGTGCCTTCCCCAGCAGCACCCCCATCCCCACCCCACCTACTGCCCCGTCAGAGGAAGACACAGAAGAGCTGCCCTGGAGTGGAAGCCCCAGGGCTGGACAATTGGACAGGTATGTGGTGGAGCCAGAGCTGAGCCTGCCTTAGACTCATGCGTCCATTAGCAGTTCCCTCTGTTGCTGTGTCGTGGATTTTGATTCTTTTTTCCACATTTTAAATAATTTAATTCCTTTGAGAAATGTAGGGTGTTTTTCTTTTGGTCTCATCTTGGACACGAGGAAAGCTTTACAGAAAGTTATAACGACATCTCCGAAGTCTCATAATTAGTTTTGTTTGTCTTCTAGCTTTTGCTTTCAAGAGCAAAATCAATTCTATTACATCATATCCTGGTTCTCACCTTCCACAGTGACCTTTTAAATGGCTAACTAGACCTTAACTCCTAACAGGACGACATTTACCATTTCAAGTACTTTCCAAGTTCTGAGTCAAGAATTAGATTGTGACCATCTTATTTGTTCATGTAGACTTTCATAGTTTGCTGTCCTATCCCTGGAGGACACACCCTTCAAAATTATGCACCCAGGCTCCAAAAGGGGCTCACCTGCCTTTCTCTTTCTCTCTACAGCAACCAGCGGGATCGGAATACCCTCCCCAAGAAAGGGCTCAGGTAACCCTTAAATGTGTGGGGTTTTGTTTTGTTTTCCCTAACATATATATCTAAGACTCTTAGCCTGTTTAAAAAAATTTTTACCTTTAATCATAAAATATGGGAGGCAGAGGCAATTGTCTTCGGTTAAAAAATAAATAAATAAATTAATTAATTAATTAATAAAAAATAAATAAAATAAAATTCCAACCCAACCTAACCCATGGCCCCCTGCATGAATTTAGTGGCCTTTTTAGACAATTGTTTGTATGTGGTCCTAATGCCACCCAAGCCCACTGCAAACTCACCATCAAGTAAGTATGTTAGCTTTTATAGCAAGTGACACTCTTTGGTGTCAGGGAAGAAGTAAATTTGCATACAGGGCTTGTCTCTGTCTGTCTTAGGGTTTTTATTGCTGTGAAGCGACACCGTGACCACAGCAACTCTTACCAAGGAAAACATTTAATTAGGGCTGGCTTACAATTCAGGTTTAGTGCATTAACATCAAGGCAGTAAACATGTCAACATGCAGGAGAAGGAGCTGAGAGTTCAGCAGGCCGCAGAAACCAAGTGAGCCACAGTGGGCCTGGCTTGAGCATCTGAGACCTCGAAGCCCACCCCTCGTGACATACTTCCTCCAACATTGTACCTACTCCAATAAGGCCACCTCCTCATAGTGCCACTCCCTGTGAGCCTCTAGAGGTCATTTTCATTCAGACCACCACAATCGTCCTGTGCTGTCACAGCCCTATGAACTGCCTCGATACAGCTCATCCCCTCACAGTGGACTTCTGAGGCCACTCACATAGGCAAGGGACAGGGAGTGTGGATCCTCCACTGACTTAGATGGAAACATGTGTCACCTGCCTACACATGGCACCATAGAGCCCTGCTCTGAGTTCAGAGGAATTTCTAAAGCCTTCATCCATCCTTTCTGTCCCCTCCAGGAGCTCTCATGGGACAATTCTGAATCGCCATCCCTTGACCCTGACCAATCCTCCTTTTCCTTGCCCTCTTTCAAAGTCTCCTTCCATCTCTAGCCTAGCTTAGACATCCCACGCACACATACAGCTAAGCCTCTGATGTCACTTTGTAGCAGCCCCAACCGAGTACCTCTGCTACTTCCTCAGGTACCAACTTCAGTCCCAGGAGGAGACCAAGGAGAGGCGGCACTCCCACACTGTCAGTGGACTTCCAGAATCGGACGACCAGGCAGAACTGCCGTCCCCGCCTGCGCTCTCCATGTCCTTGAGTGCAAAGGGCCAGCTTACCAACATAGGTTAGTGTCTGTGGTCATTCACTGTGGCAAGAGATGAGGCAGCAAAACAGTTAGGCATGTTTGGCTCCAGTTGTAGTGGGTTACTTCGTGGTGCCTCAGTTTACCAACCCAAACTAAAAATGAAGGCAAAGTATTCCAAGGTCTTAAACTGAAAGGTTGTCCCTGAGCACAGATGTAGGGTCCTGATGGCATCAGAGGGTCTGAATGACAACCAGGGCAATCCATAAACTAAGGCCCTGAGCTTAAGAAAGTTGATCCATGCACAGTACTGCTGTGGGCAGCTGCTGGGAGCGCAATCCCAACCTATGGGTTTGGTGAGCAGAAGACAGACAAGGGTTGTTGATGGCAGAATGAAGTCCGTCTCCAGAAAAGTCCAGATTCACCAACTGCTCTGGCTGAGCCAGGGCCATCTTAGCCCTAAAGGCAGGCTGACTAAGACTTGTCCTAGACACACCACACCCTCTTTAAAGCCTTTGGAGAAGAAAAAGCTGGGAGAGAAGGAAGTGGCTCTGTGACTCAGAGGGGATGGGGAGGAGGGGCTGGCTCCGGCTCAGATGTACACCAGCCCTGGTTCTGGGAGGTACTGTGCCATGACGGGTTTAATGGGAATCTCTTTAGAACAAGTCTGGAATAGACCTGTCGTTGGCTTGCTGTATCTCTAAATCCATCTCTCCTCAGCTGAGTGGGGAAAAAAAGCAGTTCTTTTGTGACCAGGACTTGTAACATCTCTCTGTGCAGGGGCTGTGGGGAATTTGAGGAAAACTAGGAATGGGGGTCCTTTGTGCCTAAGGAAGAGTCATCTGGCTTCTGTGGGCTCATCAGCCTGTTTTCTGTCTCCATTGAAGGCCAAACAAGAAGAAAAGCCAATCATGCTGTAGAATGAGGGACTGGGCCAAACAGTAACCATCTTACGAGTTCACAAGGGCCAAGACAGAGGGGTGAATTCTTCCCAGGTCTTTATAGGCAGGGAGGGCGAACATCCATATACTTGTATGGAGGTTGGACAGGGGAGCACCACACCTTGAAAGGCAGCCATCTAGCAAGGGAAAAGTGGAGCTGGCCTCTGCGGTTGACAGATTTCACAGCTGTGGATTCCAAAGCCTCTCTGAAGCTTGTTCTGTTTCTTCATTTGGATCTGAGTCTTGGTCTGAGTGCTGAGCCCACCCCTAAGACAGTTTGTGTTTTTGAGAACCACACCACCTCATTTTCATCAGCACATCCTGGTGATGTGAAGGTTTCAGGAAAGTGGCCAGGCCTCCAGCCTAACCTTCAAAAGCAACAACTCCAAGGCAGGCAGCATTAAAGGAAGATCCTTACTACAGACCATGGAGTCCTTCTCCACTAGGGCCCAGCCTTCCCAGGAGAGGGCCGTTCCTAACCTCCAGCTGCTTGCACACCCCACGGCCCCACCTGCTCTTCCTCCTCCCCTCCCCTCTTCCCGTTTGCCTTGCAATGACTCCTGCTCTGTCCCCACAAGGGACCAGAGAGCTGATGACCCTGCCTCTTCTCCTGCCTCCTCCTCCCACACCCTTCCACCCTCCCTCTGTCCTTCCAGTGAGTCCCACTGCGGCCACCACGCCAAGAATCACCCGCTCCAACAGCATCCCCACCCACGAGGCGGCCTTCGAGCTGTACAGCGGCTCCCAAATGGGGAGCACCCTGTCCCTGGCCGAGAGACCCAAGGGAATGATTCGGTCAGGATCCTTCCGAGATCCCACGGATGATGGTGAGACTTCGTGCTAGCGCGGTTCACGCTCATTCCAGCTCTGCTGGGTCCCCTCACCCACTGCCACCTCCACTGCCACCACCACCACCACACACACATAATTCACAGCACATCAACTTGGGCCATTTCAGTTCTATCTTCCCATAACTTTGAAGGGTCTGGAGGCCCAGAAACCTTGGGGGGCGCCACCTAGCACTGGGGTCTGGGGACGGAGCATCTACCACTGGGGCCCAGGGAAGGGAAATCGAGATTTGGAAGGGTTGGATGTAACTCCTCAGGTGCTCTGAGACTAGAGCTGTTCTCCTTTTTCTAAGAGTGGACTTTCTTCCCCACAGTCTTTCAGAAGAGATAACAGACAAAAAAAAACAGTAGCTCTTAAATCCATACAAACAACTAGGCATCTCAGCCCTCTTTCTAGAATGCTCCAAAGACTAGCTCCCAGGCTGACCCTGGGATTGTAGGTGGTAATCTGGGTGTTAACAGAAGACCGGGCCGTGGGGTTCATGAGACCTCCATTATTATTCTCAGGACACATCCCTGACACGTGTGGGTTCTGTTAGTGCTTGCAGTGGGTTCTGCTTAATTTTTTCTCCCACCTGAGTGGTCCACAGGCTCCTAGGCTAGCATTGCTAGGTTGAGAAGAGGAGGCACAGGCAGAATTGTAGTACTGGTTCTGACCAGCTCTAACAAGAAACTCCTCCCTTTCTACAGCTTAAAGTACTTCCTTGGCTGAGCAGATCAGATGCTGACTACCCATGAAAATCTCCTTTCCCTCTCTCTGGACCCCCATGCTCCTCAGGGAGACAGATCCAGGGACCACCAAGGCCCAGGCTATCAGAGAAAATAGATGAAAGGGGAGGCAGTCTCTATTCAGGACCATGTCCTCAGATTCTCTCCTGCTGTGGGCTGTTGGGATATGAACAGGTGCCCTATGTTGTTCTCTCTGTTTGCTCCAGATGCCCTCCAGAGTCTGAGTCCAGACTCCTGCTTTAGGCTCCTCCCAGGAACTTCTAGGCCCTCAATGCTCTGCTAACCTGTGCTCTCCTTCTCTTTCAGTTCATGGCTCGGTGCTGTCTCTGGCCTCCAGTGCCTCTTCCACCTACTCCTCAGTAAGACCATCAATGTCCCTTCCCTGTGAGCCCCGCCCCCCTACCATTCCATATTCCCTTGGACCTCCTTTGGTCGGGTAACTGGATGGGGGTGGGAAACTACCGTTTCTGCACTTGCTGGCCTTGGGAGTGGGTGTAGGGGGTGGCACCTAGAGCTTGGAACACTCAAATGAGTGTCTTGGGTCCTCTGTGTTCTTTCTGGCCTTGCCACCAACTCCCAAACAACTCTGGTGTTTTTTTTTTTCTCTCTCCTTTGAAAAGTGAAGATCTCCTTGTTACAGCCATGGAAAATGGGAAGTGTTTCTAGTACCCGAGATGACTAGGTTCCCAAGACTCTAGAGACCCCAGTAATGTACAGAATTGACCAAATGTCTACCATGGGGAACCACACACAGCATTTGGCTTCCAGATATCTTTTGACTTGTAGGTTTGTTTGGACCTTAATTCTTTACTCCTTCAAGGTGCGAACAGTCAAAGTTTGTTTTCAGACCAATTGGCTTGGTCTGAACCATTCTCTAGCCTTCTTAGCAATGATAAGGTTGGCTAAAGATAAGCACCAGAGAGGAGCCTATTATTTAAACCTGAATGTAGCTCTGAGGGGCCAGGGCCAAGAGACAGGGGACTCACCTCTCTGCATCTGTCAATCATGCTTCTTCCGGTCTCTGCCCTGACATTTGGGCCTGGCTTCTGCACCTCCATAGTAACCACCTGCTTTTTCTGTCTTTCTCTCTTTCTGTGCCCACTTCTTCAGGCTGAGGAGAGGATGCAATCTGAGGTAGGATACAAAGCCTTTGTCTCTGCTTCTTTAACACCACTGCATACTCCGTTTTCCTTCTAAATAATCTACCTCTGCCATCAGTAGTTTGTCTCTCTTCCTTTTTGCAGCAAATTCGGAAGCTTCGTAGGGAACTGGAATCATCCCAGGAAAAAGTGGCCACCCTGACATCTCAGCTGTCTGCCAATGTGAGTACCTGAAGCAGGGTGAGACCTGCCTCCAGTTAAACAAGGCATTGGGAAAGTGATCTGACCGAGTCCGCCCTGGCCTTAGACCTCTAGGGAGCAGGTTTTAGTCACATTTCTACAATAGAAGATTCGGGGACTGTCTGTCACTTTTTTCGAGCCTTCCTTAAGAACCATTTTTCCCCACCTTAATTAATTGGTGTGGATGAGTTGGTGTCTGGTAACCTTTGACATTCCTAAAGAAAGCAGAGACCAGTGGTTCTGCAGGGAGGCAGAAACAACCTTGCCATTGGCCATGGACAAAAATAGCAATTTTAATTACTGAGCCCTCTGATCCTATCTACTGCCCTAGGGTGTGCTTTCTTCTTTACTGACGCCACACAACTGAACAGGCTCAGAGCCAGTTATTAGAATTCTGTCTGGTGGCAGTGGTGGCGCACGCATTTAATCCCAGCACTTGGGAGGCAAAGGCAGGTGGATTTCTGAGTTCGACACCAGCTTGGTCTACAGAGTGAATTCCGGGACAGCCAGGGCTACACAGAGAAACCCTGTCTTAGAAAACAAACAAACAAACAAAAAACAAAACAAAAACCAGAATTCTGTCTGGTGACCATGAGGCTGGCTCAAGCCCAACTCCATTCTAGCTACCTATGTGGTTCACGGTTGGCTCTGCCTCGATTCTGTCCTTGATCCGATCTGAGCTTCAGCTTTGGACCCAGCATCCTTCATTTCTGCACTTAACCCACCTCCATATGTCCACTTAGAATGTCTGCCTTCCCCCAGACCTTAGTCTTTCTGTTCTGAGAGATGAGGAGGACTGGAGCTACCTCATCTAACTCCACTCTGGGCAGTTCCTCTCCTGTGACCAAACTGCAAACAGGGAACTAAGAGCCATTTTCTCCCAAAATTGTAAACAGCAGCTGAGCTGGGTGTCCAGGAGCTTTCCAAGTGTTTGTACAAAAACAACCACGTCTGCGGTTTCTACAGTACTTTCTTCTCTCTTCCCTTCCTCTCTGGGGAGCTCAGTTGCCAGGCCTGAGGCCTATCACTTGGAATCAGGTAGAATGCTCACCAAGATTTTGCATGCTTCCAGTGTATTTTAGCAACACAGCTCTCTTACCACATTGGCTGTTGTCTTTATTTTTTCTCCTAAATCCTCAGTTCATAAATCCTGTATTGACTGGTTTGCTTGAAGCTCGTATCAAGCTCCAAACTCTCTGGGACCAAACGAATTATAACAGAAACAAGAACCATCCTGTACCACGCCCATCAAGGCTAGTGGCCTAGGTCATGTCCTGCACGCCCTAGGAAATTCATGTCTGGGAGATGTTGAAGGGGAGAGGCGCCAGGGAGGTGGAGAACAGCCAGGGAGGCGGAGGACATTATTATGCCTGATTCACTTACACTGCAATCTGTCAGCCATCGTGGCTGTCAAGGCTGGTCTAGTTCCAGAAAATGAATTTAGAGGGTAAATTTTCTTAGAACGGCAAGTTCCATTTGGCCAAGAGAAAACAAACTAAACACCCAGGTCTGGCGGGTTCTGGATCTAGAGTCAGGTTTTTGCCAAGGGTCCAAGCCCTTCCCTTCAGCGGGAGATGTGATGCCAGACCCCAGAGCTCTGCTTGGGATTCCTGATGTTGAACCAAGCTTATGCCATGTTGGATGGAATAGCCAAGCTGCTGAAGATGGCATCCTCTGGCCAGGAAGTGGCCCTGATCACTGTATTACCTCCAATGCTAAATTCTCTACAAAAGGACCACTTGGCCTGAAGTTCTACAGGCACCCTTATCTGTGGTTGGCATTAGAGCAAGGTTCTTGGGGGAAAAGAGAGGCAGGAAAGGAGTGAGAGGAAAGCTTAGTTCCTCAGAGGGGCAGATGTGCATGTAGAAATGTATTAAGAGACCAGGGGCACTGTGGGCTCTGAGTAGATTTTCAGGGACTATAAGCTACCTGCCAATAGCATATGATGGTTAGTTAGAAGGAAACAAGATTGAAATTAAGAAGACAGGAGGTGGGGGCTGAAGCGATGGCCCAGTGCTTAAGAGCACTGGCTGTTGTTGCAGGGAACCTGGGTTCAGTTCCCAGCATCCGTGTACTGGCTCACAACCATCTGTAACGTCAGTCCTAGAGGAACCGGACCCTCTTCTGGCCCCATCAGGCATGTACGTGGTGCACAGATATACCTGCAGGTCAAATACCCACGCAAAAATAACATTTAAAATTGAGAAAATTTCGAGGGTGGGGTTACAGAGGGAGGGAGAGAGAGGGAGGAGAGAGCACAGAAGGTGAGAGTTCGGCCTCAGAGGGCAAGCTCAAAATCCCAGTACTTGAGAGGCTGCAACTGCAGGAAGGTCACTAGTTCAAGCCTATTGGGAATAGTGAGTTCAAGGCCAGCCTGAGTAACTTAGTGAAATCTTCTCTTAAATATTGAAAAAAGACAGAAGGTGAAAGAAAGCTGCTTAAAGAAAGATGCTCAGATCATGACATGTGTTTGCCTAGGAGCCCAGGACCCAGCAGATTTACAGGAAACATGGAAGACACTGCCTCTGGCCTTGTAAGCTCCAAGGCACTGGTGAAATTGGACTTGGTGGTCAGAGAGGACATGTAATAGGAGGCAGGGAGGGTGCTGCTAACACCACAGGGACTGCATGAATGACCTGCCCAAAGCCTTCTGCTTCTTGTTACCCTCACCATTTGCTGCAGTGCTCTCACTGGAGGCTGTTTGTCCATCCTTGAGTGGTCCCTTTTCTGCTCCTATACCTATTTCCCTTCACCTTTCCTATACCCTTTGCTGCCAGGAGCTAGCTGGAGGTCCAACCACTAGGAAGGAACCTTTCCCTACCCTACCAGAGATCCAGAGTTCCCACAGGATCCTGCATCCTTTCCAATGTAGCCCTGACCCCTAGTGGCCAAAGTGGGGAATGCCCTGAAGTGGTTTGCATGGCTACTGGCATCCCCTCCAGCCCTGCCAGAGACAAGGCGTTATATTCCAAACCCAGGATAAGGTAAGAATAGGGTGCCATCTAGGTGCAGAGGCAGAAGAGATAAACCAAATGGATCCTACTGGAAGATCATTTTGTACCACAAGAGCTGGCCCTCTGTGGTGGAGTTAAACCAAAAGCCGTAAGCCAGAGGCTGTTGCCCTCCCATCAAGCCCACCTACTACATAAAACAGGGAGGGACTTTACCACCGCTGAATTCCCCAAAAGCTCTGAAAACCTGCCCCACCCTCTACGCTCTGTTATTCAAGAAGCTGGTTCTCTCCAGAAAACCTATCTGATTCTACCTGGTCTGCCCATGGAAATCAATACGTTGAAACCATCCAGAGTTTTGTTTGCATTGGTCTGTCAGCCCTGAGATGCGGAAAATCTGTTAAACTATGCCTGTATCAGCCATTTCCTCTTCTGCAGCCGCAAATGCCTTAAGTTCTTCTTTGTACATTTGTGTCAGGCTAACCTAGTGGCCGCTTTCGAGCAGAGCCTGGTGAATATGACATCCCGCCTGCGACACCTGGCAGAGACGGCCGAGGAGAAGGTAAGAGGCCCAGGGTGGTGAATTCTAAACCCACTAGCCAGGGCTGCCTCTTCCGCTCCAGTGTCATGGCCATTTGCTCACTGATGGTGAGAACAGGCCTGGTTCTCAGCCTGCCTGACAGTAGTGTCCTATTCTCACTCCCGTTTCCTCCTCCCTTCCTGTGGACAGCAGTACAATCCTATGCCCAGTTCCCTGTATTTCTGCTGAGCATCTAACAACACAACCATCGTTTCCTTTAGGACACCGAGCTGTTGGATTTGCGAGAAACAATAGACTTCTTGAAGAAAAAGAATTCTGAGGCCCAGGCAGTCATTCAGGGAGCACTGAATGCCTCAGAAGCCACACCCAAAGGTAGGATATCAGCCAGAGAGCGGATGGAATTGAAAAACAACAGGAGTGGGTGGAAGGAAGATGATTCTAGGGCCCACAACGCCAACTTTCATATCTACTTTCTAGAAGGTGAGGGTCCTTAGGTACTCTTCAGTGTGCTGTCTGGATGCCCACTGAGGAACTCTGGAGCATGACTCCTGAGGATGAGGGCAAGCAGAGGAAGCCTGTAATCTCCACAGGCCTGCTACTCTCTCCTCAGCCTTTAGACCAGAGCCAAAGACCAGTCAAAGGTGTCTCAACAGGGCCTCATCATGTAGCTCCGATTAGCCTGGCACTCAACCACATTGCTGTCCTCATCTCCTAAGTGCTGTGAGTGTGAGTGTGTGTGTGTGTGTGTGTGTGTGTGTGTGTGTGCGCGAGCGCCACCAGGCCCAGCTCAAAACTGTTCCTTTTTGTTTGTTTTAAAATTTTTACTTAATTTTTTTAAGGTTTTGAATAAGTACATATCCTCTGCCCTCTCCTTTCCCCTTTCTCAGCCTTCTCTCTTCCTGTTACACCTCCCCCCAACCCCCAGAGGCTTAGTTCTGCCTTCCTGACACATACATGCCACATACTTCTGTATATCCATGTACAAATCTAGGCACAAATGAGAGAAAGTATGATACTTTCTTTCCGAGGATGGCAAAAAAAATGAATCTTAAGTAAAGGTAGTTTCAGAATAGCACAGCTATAAGGCATGTCTACACACCAGTGCAAGATTTTGCTTGACCGTCATTACTCCAAGGAGTAGTCAGCCTGCAGTTCAGATGGGATGGTGAGAAACTATAGAGGTTCATTTCACGCTGTGGCAAGATATAGCCGTGCTGCTCTGCCTGGTTACCCGGCCGTTAATATAAGATCCACGTTTTCCTCCTCACTGTTTGGCCTTTACAATGAGTTCGTTCTGGTGCTTATGCGATCTCAATTATACTCTCCCTCTGTGTTGGTCCTGTCATGGCTTGGGCTTTCCACATTCTTCCCTGGAATACTGTAGTAATTCCTAGCTGGTTCCGAGTGCTCTGGTCTCTTACCTTCCCTGCCCCCAGAGTAACCTCACTGTCCCTTCACATCAGAATGCATTCCAATTTAAATGGGAGCTAGTTATTAGATAAAAAGGACTTTGGTTAATTTTCCTTGGTCTGATAATGCTGTTGTGAGCAAATAACCATATTCACAGGAGATTTATCTTTAAGTATTATTTTCAAACTGCATGAGAAAGTAGGGGAGGGAACAGGTGTAATAAAGTCTTCGCTGTGGTTGAACTAGACAGAGGGCACCTGGGTTGGCGTTTCCTGTGTTGTAACTTTTCTCTTATATTTGAAACATTTCAGAAAGGCAGGTTATAAGAGGAAACAATGTATCCCCGGCCCTTTAAAGTCGCACGGCAGCATCCTCCTTCTCAAAAGTGTGCTTTTCTTTTTGGCCCCATCTTCTGTCATATCCTCTTGCATCTGATATTCCATCTATAAAGAACCCTGCCACATGGTGGGCACTTTCCTACCTGTCCTCAGGTATTCCAGATAACAACCTAACAAGCATATTTTATAACAAGGAGAATAATTCAATCCTTTACCGAAGGTGATCTATCTGGGATATTCAGCTATTTCCAACTTCCCAAGTGAACTTTGCCCTTGAGATCGTACCTTTTCTTTTCGTTTCATTTTGTTTCATTTTGTTTTGTTTTGTTTTGTTTTGTTTTGTTTTTGGAGACAGGGTTTCTCTGTATAGCCGTGGCTGTCCTAGAATTTACTCTGTAGACCAGGCTGGCCTCAAACTCAGAAATCCACCTGCCTCTGCCTCCCAAGTGCTGGGATTGAAGGTGTGCACCACTACTGCCCGGCTGATCGTACCTTTTCTAAATGAGTACATTATGACTTTCTGCTGGGAATGTTCACCTTTGTTCATGTTGATCAAGAAGCAACTTCACAAGGAGGACTTCTAGACACTCCATTAGAGCTACTGCTTAAACAGTGATGCCCAGGCGTATTTTAATTATAAATAGGCAATACATTTGCATGGTATAAAACTCAAGATGCACAATGTGTTTTCTAACTGTTGCAAATTTCTGATGCTACACTCTGCCCCTTCCACAGTTCTGAGGGTTGAGCCCAGGAGCTTACGGATAGTAAGCAAGCACTCTGCCACCAGCTGTATCTATAGCTCTCTTGTGTTAGTGAAAATATCTAAGGCATATAATTTAATAGATGAACTCATAGCTATCGAAAGCTCCCTATGCTAGTCAAATACTTGCTCCTTTTTTTTTTTTTTAACTTGTGAGGGGGCTTGAACCCAGGATGTCTGCACAGACCTTTCTTCAGCCCTAAATACTTTTCTCAGTGTTCCCATCTGAAATATCCCTGTTCTTTCAATATTCAGACATCTCCTCTGTTGGCCCTTTTATGTCCCTCTTCACCTTTTTAAAGAATAGTGATCCATTTTTCTTGGTATTACAAACCTCAGAGAATTTCAATTTTCTGCCTATCAGATGACAAAGTAAAACTCAGTCAAGTTAAATGCAAGGCACAAGGCTGCTCATACTTGACCTTGAGCCAAAAGACAGCCAGTTCTTGCTGGAAGGTCATAATATACTAGGGCATGGACCAAGAGTACTACCATAAGTTCAGAGCCAGCCTGGGCTACAGAGACAGTTAATAGGTTAACCTGTGCTATAGAATGAGATCCTGTCTTAAGAAACAACAAAACAAAAACAGATACAATGCCTCATACATGTAATCCCAGCACTTGGGAGGCAAGGCAGGAGGAGTGTCACAAGTTCAAGACCAACCTGGTGTACATAGTGGGACTCTGCTAAAACACAGATAGACAGATGAAGGATGTCCACATAAAAGGCCAGGATTTTTACAACTAGCCAATCTTGAGTTCCTTACAAAATCCTTCTATTTCTTATACTAAACTTGGGCTTCTTTTTGTTTTGGTTTTGCTTTTGTTTTATTTTTGCTTTGGACAGGGTCTTGCTGTGTAACCCAGACTAGCCCAGAACTCATAATCTTCCCAAGTGTTGGGCGCCATCATGCCCAAGTTGGACTGACAGCTTCTTGAGAATAGGATTTGTTCTTTTATCATGGTTGCATTTTCTTTTATGTCAAGGCATAACTGTAACTCTATAAATGTTCATTGGATGAATAATCTCCCAAATTAGTGTATAGAAGTTGGTGGGTCTTCCCTCCAACTGCTGCAGTTAGACTTTTCTTAAGCCTCACATCTTCTCTAAATCTACCTCTGTGTTCTTCCCACTTGTTCTGGCCAATAGAACTCCGCATCAAGAGACAGAATTCCTCAGATAGCATCTCCAGCCTCAACAGCATCACCAGCCATTCCAGCATCGGCAGCAGCAAGGATGCTGATGCCAAGAAGAAGAAGAAAAAGAGTTGGGTAGGTAAAGGCTTGGGGACTGGCCTGTGCTAGGAGTCATTTACCCCATTGCAGAGAACTGATCCTTTCAGGATCAACCAAGAGATGGTCCCTTCTAACAAGGTGCCAGTGTTGTGACATCTGCTGGGGACAAAATCTGCTAAGTTCCCATTCCTCTAACCATTGTCTACTCCCCTACCACCACGCTGCACCCCGACCACCACCACTGTCCCCCTCCTCTACCACCACGCTGCACCACCACCACCACCACGCTGCACCCCCCCACCACCACCACTGTCCCCCTCCCCTACCACCACGCTGCACCCC